AAATAATTGGCAGGATGAAAAGGAGAGAGAGTCGCGTAATCGGCTCGACTCTTCTCGAAAGTTGGGCCGTTCCAGAAGAAGGAAACTCGAGTTGGAAAAAAGTTGGTAAGATGGGTTGCTGCTGCATTTTGGATCTCGCACAATAGAGCGAGAATGAAGAAATTGATGTGGAAGGAATGCGGCCACTTCCTCGGAAACCGTTGAAAGTCGTGTACGCGAAAACGCGTCATCCCGCGGATGATTAACGATCGCGGAATTAATTTGGAGCAACGAGGACAGAACAAATACTTGGGAGGATTAAGCGTCTTTGTTTTTCCGTATCAGAATTCCGTATGAAATATGTATAAAGCGTGTCCCGGTTACGAGCGGCGACCGAATTACAACAAGCGGCGGCAGTCTTCAAGATCGGGGATTAATCAAATGCGGTCGTTTAATCAAATCGAACCGCCCTAGTCTACCAACCCGACCCGATTTCCCTCCCTCCACCACCAGATATCTTCCGTATAATAATATCGGCAAACGAGATTTCGTATCTGTTTTCCCTCCCGCAAATTAATCCTCGATGCAACAGTCGGAAATGGAAAAAAAAGAAAAAGGAAGAAGGAATGAATCTAGATTCGTTCGTAGCGGCTTCCCCGATATTTCTAGCGGGCGGGGAATGGTCGAGTGTGTCGGCGGAAATTCGAGGACGAACAAACGCGACCCGATTACGATCGAAAGGTTAACAAGAAGATTCGCAAACCGTTTCGACGATTCGGGTCACGGCGAAGGATAGGGTTCAAAGGGAATCGTGTGTATATATATGTATATATATATATATATCTCGGGTCAAGGAGGGCCGAGGTTGCCGGCCAATTAATTAGTCATTTCTTTGACGAGGATTCTCGTAATTCGAGGTGTTCCCTTTGCCGCGATACAAGTAGTAATAACGGGACTTCTTCGAATTGCAGCACCCACCACGAGAGCCCACTGAGAAGAGAATCGTACATCGAAGAAAGGAAACGAGGTCGAGTCGAATAAAACAGGAGTGCAGGCCGGCCGACCTTCTGGTCCGGCGGTTCCTGGCTTTCCTCGTTTCCGGCCAAGTTCCACTGGAAACGCGATCAAATATCCTTTATTATTTATACACGAGACACACGAGATAATTATGTAAATCTTCTTATCGAATTAAAACCCGTTTCGTTTTTTCGAAAATCGATCGATCGATCGGTCGATATATTCTTGAATTTTTCGTCTTCTTTCGAGAAGTCGAGTTATCGAATTCTATTTTCTCTGTATTTCGACAAATAGACACCGTGCATTATCTTTGACATTTCAAAAATTTCTGTCCAATATTAATTAACGATAAATACGAGTTTTCGTTCGCCTAATAATAATCACCGTACAATTTTGTGCATCCATATTCGCAATTATATTATGTTATTGTAAGCTAATGTGTATTCCGTTCATTCGTGTCACGAACATTATTTGATCATTGATTTAATAAATAAATAAATAATCATCGATAGGCCAGTGTTTCGCGATACAAAATATCAAATCGTGAAACGATTCGATCCGATATAGAATGTTTAGATTCGTACCATTCGTAGTCATTATTGAAGCGAACATGACACCCGAATTTATTTCCAATAATGAAATTTTGTCGAATAATTAATTATTTGGTCCGGTTGGGGGAGGAGGAGGGAGGGGTAGAGCCGAGAAATCAAACCGTTCCGTAATTTAATCGAATCAGACACGTTATCGGGACGTTCTTTTAAATCGTGCCCTCGTCTGACTAATGGGATCGCCACGCGAAAATATGCGCATACGTTTCCATGTTTCCTATCTATCGAAATAGGGAGAGACGCGCGATCAACTCGATTTCTCTTTTGCAACTCGTGCCGAATATTAAGTTCGAGATTCGAACCAATAACTCCCCATCTATCTTTCTCATCCTGTTCCTTGAACGATCGATCGAAGAGATCGAATCGATCTGGAAAATATATACGTTTCAAAGGTGTAAATTTTAATCGGAATCACCGATGGATATATACATATATATGAAGAAATAGAGGCGAAACTTGAGGCGAGCGTGAAAAAATACACTCGGATTCGAGCCATCTTGCGATCAATTAATCGCAAGTAAATATCCGATCGACACCGATATCTATCTCTGCACGCCACCTATGCTGCTACTTACTTCAGATTTTCTCGCGTAAAGTCGGGTTACTCTTATCTTCCGTTCGAGGACCAGCTTCCCCCAGGGATAGGGGATCGTTTTTTACGAGAGACGCGCTCGACTAACAACGAGACAGCCACGGTGGTTTCGGGATGGCGCGGATGACAAAGAAGAAAAAGGGGGGAAGTTTGGTCGCTCGATCAATGACCAAAAAATGCCCAAATCGCGATATAAGGATAAAAAGGGGGAGGGGAGGGGAGGGGAGGGGATTCGAAAGCACTTGGAATTTATTCGAAAGCAACCTCGTTACGGTGCGGCTGGCAAAGTAGGTCGCATGAAAATAGCAAGGACGTTTAAAAGCGCCTCACCGTGCGATTTAACGTCAATGGGCCACTTCTCGTTCCCCTCTTTTCTTTTTCTCTCCGTGGGCTGTGCGACTCCTTTTTCTCGGCCGCAGCCCGCTGCTCTCCCTCTCTCTCTCTCTCCTCCCCCTTTTCCTTCCATGCGTTTTCTTCCTTTTTGCGGGTTGAGTCGCGACATTTAAGCTAGGAGTCGTAGAACGACGAACGTAGGCGAGCTCTTGGAAAAATCTTTCGACTCGCTTTGGACTCGAGCGAGCGAGCGTGCAACCAGGAGCGGGCGGGCGGGCGAGCGAGCGAGCGAGCGAGCTTTGTGCCCGCCGTTCTCTTTTTCCTCGGTGTAGGATTCCTTCTTGACGGGTTGTCGCCTTCTATTCCGCACGACGCTTTCGCGCCTTGCGACGTTTCTCCTCCCCTTTTCCATCGCGCCTTTTTCACTTTAACGCGATCTTCTTAAGTTTCCTCTTCGATCCACTGCGACGCTTCTAAGACGAATCACGACCGATATCGGGGGCAATCTAATCTCGATCGATTTAAAAAAAAAAAAAGAAAGAAAAGGAAAAAAACCTTAACCCTGCTTCGATTAAACATCAACGTTGAGGATTGAACGTTGATTTGTCTTTCGAAAATTATCGAATTCGGTCGAACGAAAGGAACGAACTGATTATTATTCTCGCCACTGACGAGACGGATCGAGAGAGGGAAGGAACACGGGATGTTCACCCTTGACCTTGGAGAGAAAGGAAGAGAGAGAGATAGAGGGTAGAAAAAGGCCGACGAAACTCTGATCGAATCTTTCATTACCAACACTTTATGAACACGTACGCGATATTTCGCCACCGAGGAATTCCGTGTAGGGAGGGTATATAAATGACTTCCACCCTGAAACTTACTCCGTTATAGTAGACTTGGCTATAGACGCGGCGGGATAACCTTCAATCGTGGCCAACCTCGATCGAACTTCATCCCGTGCGGGGACCGAAATTCCCGCAGACATCGATTCCGTAGACGACAACGTCGACCACCAATCCCTCGCGCGTGCCCTGCCAAGTACCGTTGTCTTCATTAACCGAGACTCGAAAGCCCAGATTTGAAAGAACCGAACTTTTCGAGTTTCAGTAACAGGAAATTGCGTTGAACGGTGATTGTTACAATCGCATCAATTTTATTCGAAGAACGCGTAACATTCGTCTAAAAGAGGAATGAATATTGATCGAACTTAAAATATCGAATAGACAGACGGGAGAAAAAATTTACAGAGGTTGGTGGGGGAAAGCGTTCGAATTGGTCGAAGATATCGATCGAAGAAACAATCTCGAAAGAAATATTTCCAGAAATATTCCAAAGTGAAATACCCGATGATTGAAATGACCATCGATCGATTCGATGTTTGTTCGAGCACGGTCCGGTTACGAGGGCAAAGATTGATGCGCGATGTTGTTAGAAGTATTATTTTAGAAATATCACAGGTCGTTCGATCGGTCGTTTGAAAATCGGATCGGTCGTTATTTCGGTGTATTTCCTCGCGAAAGAAACTGAGAATAGGAAAAGAGACGAGGTGGTTGGAGAGTTGAGTTCCGGTTGAAAACAGGCCACTCGATTTACGCGGTTGTCTCGCCACTTAAATTACCACCGCGTTGAACTCGCGCGTCGATAAACCGTCGTTGTTGAATTAATAACTGATCCTAATTGAATTAATAATCCGCTCATCCCTCTACGGAAATTGTAATAGGTGAACGGTGGCTAACAAAATACGGCCAAGCTATACGTACAGTTATTGGTTCCCTGTTCAATTATTGACTTCCCTTCTATTCCATTCCTCCCAGCTTTCGCCGTTGGAATGTTCTATTAAACCATTGACAAAACGAGTGTTTAAAAAAAAAAAAAAAAAAAAAAAAAAAGGAAATACATTTCCCGATACTAAAAATGTATATTCTTTGCCCCATTGTTCCCCGTATTCGGTCAATTAACGATCATAACCGAAACGATAAAAATACACTCTACAATACTCGGTTCAAAATTGTTTTTTTTTTTTTTTAAATATCGCGGGCTATAGAAAAATTGAAACCGAGTCTGTACTCGCGATATTTTCACGATTTATAATTGTACCACGAATATCCCCTCTTTTCCTCCCAAAGAGAAACAAACTCGAACAGAATGGAAAAAGTAGGAAGAAGGAAAGACAAATCCTTCGCCCGAACGAAAACGCGCGATCGAAGGATCGCGACTGTTTACGAATCGACTTTACGAGGTGGCGAGCCTACGTCAACAAGGAACGATTCTCTGCTCCGAGCAGAATGATGGTCTTGTTGACATCACTTGCTCGACCATCCTTGTCAAATTCTCAACGAAGAATCGAAGAGGAGAACCGTGTATAATAACCGAAGAAAGTTATTTTCTCGTTCGTAAAAGAACGACGCGAATTCCTCGTCTCGTTCAACTTTCGTCAAACGATTGGCCGGATAAATTTGATTGATACTCACCGCTTCTGCCCGTTGGCGTGGGCGCGGACGTGGATCTGCCGGTCGGTTCCGGGATCGGGAATATCAGGTCGCAACATTCCCTTTCCGGGAATTCGCTCGCGCGAGTGCACCTGCAGCAGCAAAAGAGTAGGACGAGGGCAGCGGCGACGCTCGTGAGCAGCGTGGAGCGCGCGAGCAGCGTGCCGACGACACGTGACATGACTCGTCCCATCGGATCGACGTGGCACACCATCGAGGACGGCCTGCTGCCCTTCACCCTTTCCTCTTCGACGCTCTCAACGGCCACCGGTCGACCGGTCGGACGACTGAGACGAATCCCGCGGCGGCGTCCGCGCGACATTCTCTCGTCGTCCGTCTCATCGTGCGACGTCTCCTCCACCTTCGATCCGATCCAACCAGGCCCAACGCTCGTCCTTCTATCCACACCGCTCGATTCCACCCGATGATCCTCCTCTCTTCTTCTCCCTTCTACCACCTTCTCCTCTTCCTTCTTTCTCGAGAGAGAAAGAGAGAGAGAGAGAGAGAGAAAAGTAACACGCGCACACTTTATACTTGAAGATTCTATTCCCGAAACACTTTTCTCGCGGTTTCCCGACGAGACCGAGAAATGCCACCGATCCGACCAAACAACTCCCGACTCATAACGAACTCGTAACAACGGCTCGAACAGGCGTAGTAACCGCGTTCGACGCACCGAACATCCTCTTCAACCCGATCGCGGATGAAGAAGAATCGTCGTCGTCGATCGATCGATCGATCACTCGCGAACCAAACCGTCACGGATCCTGGACGGCGTCGAAATTACTGAACGAAAACCCGCACCAAACTCTCCTCTCCTCTTACGATTCTACGCGGCGATTCCAACGCGATGTATAAAAGCGTCGCGGCAGCCTCGAGTTAGGACGACGGGTGGGTGGTGAGCGTGGTTGCAGAAAACGATGCGGCAAAAGTCGCGCACCACTCTCTCGGCCCTCGTGTCGCGTTTCGAACACACTTGCCGCGCGCGTGCTCGCCAACCGAGCGTGCCTTCGAGCCGAGACCGCGTCGCCACGGCGTCCCGACGCCCAATGACGGCCGCACCGCGTTCGCCGCGCGACTACCACCGCCCCTCTCCCCACTCCCCTCCCCCCCCAACCTTACACACGATAGTTTCTGCGCCAAAGTGTGCGCCGTTCCGAATCCTCCGAGAGAACCACGTTTCTCCTCCCGTCCCTCCTCCCTCTGCGTGTCCTTGCACGCGACCCAAGTGCTCGCCCTCGAGTGCGCTCGTGTGTGCGCACACCCTCTTCTCTCCGTGGTAACGCATCGTTCCCCCTCCCCCCCCGGAGAACGCACACCTGCTCCGTTAATCCCACGCGTACCCGAATCTCCCCCTCGTGGCTACTACTACGTTGGCTCTTCTGCGTTTACCTCTAACCGATCCAAATTTCCTTCTTCCACTCTCGGCTTCCCTTTTTTCGACGGATGAGGAGGGAAGAAAGATACCGAATCGAAGGATATCCTCGTTCGTCGCGCGGGCTATCGAGTCAATAGTAGTAGTAGACGCGTCGCGTGTTTCTTCCTCGTAAGTTCGACTCGAACCGATATCGGTGTCCGTAGTTATTTGACCGGCGTGCAGCACATGGCTGTGTATCGAGCACGTACAGCGTTGGCGGTGTGTGCGGGTCGTGCCGTACGTGTCGATGTAACACGATTCCAGTTCGTGGAAACGACAACGTCCGAGCGGATCCGAGGTATTCCGAGCGAAGGAACATCCCCTGGCTGGGGGAGAGAGAGGGTGGCCAGGTGGGCGAGCAGCCACCAACGACCCTCGTTTCCTCGTACGCGCCATCGTTCCTGACCTCGTTTCGCTCCGTTTGTCGAGGTCGGTTACGCGGAAATGTCATCCCTCTCCTCGCAGCGGTCCATCCTTGAAAATCGGCTTAACCGTCGTTTTACCTTCATCCGTTCATCTTCTACCGATAAGCTCGGAAAGAAATTTAACGAACGCAGAACACTTTTGTTCGATAGTTTGGGAGATACACGGTCGTCTCTGAATTTCCGGGCTGATACACAAGCACAGCTAGCTGCCTGCCACTTGTTCGCGGCCAACTTTCTATTTCCCTGATGAAGTTAAAACACGTTTATGCCACGTAGCGTAGAACCAATCAACGGAAGGTTGTGAAAGTTTCATCGTTGCAGAAGCAACTTGAATCGCGTTGAAAATTTCACCGGTCCATCATCGGTGAGCAGCTCTCCTCATCTTGCCCTCTTAATAAACGATGACGTGTGCGTGCGTACGAATAAATATTTCCAGTAGAATGTTCGAAATAACATTGGACGAGATGATTTTTGTCGAAAGCGTAGATCGTCGTGTTATCGTCGTGTTAGCGAACGTTATCAATTAGGAAGGATGATTACCGGAATTCATGAACGACCAGTGGACGACGAGATGCGGCGCATAATGCCGGGGCAAACAGTATTATTAATTCTCATCGCGACGCTTCGAAAATCCGATATTCAAGTCCACCGGGGGAAAAATGTAGACAGCAGGTCATCCGCATAATCGCGATTCGATTGGCCACGTTAAATAGAGCCAACCTAATATTGACGTGTAATATTAATCGAGTTTTATACGCCCGCACAATGTAATTATTTCGTTGGATCGTAAAATAACGCTCGTACTGTCGCACAGTTTGTTTAATCCAACGATTTCTTTCGCGAATGTTATCGCGAGGAAAAACCGATTTAAAGGTAAAGGAAGATATATGAATGGAAGGCGAGAGAGCGTACGTGTCGGTAAATTGCACGATGTTGCTAGATTTCCAAGGATTTTACTGACCAAGCCGAATCGGTGCTGGAGCCAGTGGTATAAGCGCGCCACTGGTCAGGCGAGACGTAGATACGTTCGATGTAGTGGTAGAAGTAAGTGAATAGTCGAACGGGCCATGTACGAGAACCCGAGTCAGCAATTATGCGAATAATCAATTGCCAAGAAGGAAAGCACGTAAAAAGAACCTTATTCCGCGTTAATTGCCGTGTAATTCGTAGAAAAAGTAACGAGTCCACGCGAAAGTCGGGAAGAAAACTTGAGATTTGTTCGAGTAGAAGAAGCTGAACGCTCGTTCTTGGGAGTTGTTAAGAAGATTCGATTGTTTAAGACCGTGAACAATCGTTACGAGATTCGAGGTTCTTCGGATATTTGTTTCCATCGCGCTTCGAATTATAAAACGGAGGAGTAACCTCGAAGAAGTTTCAAAGGTCGGATGACGACGATCACGCGATACGATCGTATAATTCTGACGTAAGAAGTTGTTCTTCGAAGTTCTGTTCTTCGATTTGATTTGATATAAACATCCGCGAACACCAGGTGCGTGATTTATAGTGGTGACGTGGGCTCGATCGAATCTCGAGAAGTCGTCAACTTTTAAATCGAATTGATTTTGTCTCGACGACGATTTTCCCATCCGTGAATAAATAAGTAAAAAAATCATGACTCTTACAGCAGCAGCGCGTGAGTTACGATCGATCGAATAATAACTTAAAAGCGAAAATTTGCGCGATCGAAATGTCATCTCCCCGATAAATCCTTTCCTTCCCCCAACGTTGAAAATGGACGCGTGAACAAAAATCCTTTGTTCTACTTTTCCGAGTTCGGGATAGAATTTCTGTTCTAAATTCTACATTTTTCTCAAGCGAACGATTATCACTGCGATCCCGACAGCGACGCCTCCAATTGGAAAGTTAGTCGCGTGCCAACCGAACACTGGGACCTTCGTACACATCGGTATCACGCGAAGGTATCGCGATCCAACCATCGTAATCCAAATTGTGAGGAACGTAGTGGCAGGGTGCTGTTATTCCCTTCGATCCAATTGCCATTTATTTTACCTTTTAATCACCGTTCCAGTCTCTCTCCCTGAAATTGAACACGTGCATTTCCACCAATTGGGCTCTCATTACCCAACGCGAGTCTTCAGTCATAGGATTCCGTGTAGAAGAAGAAAAATGTATCTGCAAAATATCTGCAACGACGAAAAGGAAGGCGATAATTCCGTGAATCAGTGTCAAAGCACCGACACTTGGAGAGTGCATCACTAGAAATCAGGTTTAAACGAGCATATGTAATATATTCAGCGGTCTACCGCTGTATCGGGCGACGAAACCGTGGAGAGGCCGGATGCACAGAGAACTCGACGATAGTCAACGTCGGTCTGCGGTTACGGTGAGTACAAGTGACAGCCAGTACCTGCATAATGACTCGACTGCAGCCGTGCAATGCGGCGCGCAAGCTCGCTACGCTATGCACACTGCCAATCGGAACGTTGTTTCGTCGCGTTAGCTACACCGACACGAGCGTCCCCGGCTAGATTCACCACAACCACCATTACCGACGCCATTACCCTCCTCACTACCTCCTACACCGCTGCTACAGTCGTCACAACCATCGTACAATCACCACCGGCGTCACCAGTAGCGATTTCTATCCAACAATGTTGGATATGGCAGGTATGTCTTTCGAGCGGAGGCACGCGATTCTCACCGATTTCTTTCCAATTCATTTATTTCACCTCATCCTTCCAGGTGAATTGGATAATACCGTAATACCTTGCAACTCCGTTTGCGTGTTTTAATTAATTTTTTCATTTTTTCGTTATCGTCGATATACAGAACAACGAATCGAATCGAATTCGTATGCACAGATGGAAATTTTCTCGATTCATCTATCTTTTGATATTTTACGAGCCTCGTGTTTCGATACAGTCAATTATTTATAAAGGTTAATCATTTATAAGATCCATTGAACACATCCGTTGAATCCATGGAAAGGAAGAATAATAAATTAAAATGTTATTAATAACAAGGCGATAAAACATATTAATCGTATGCAAGTATGAATAATTTTACATGGTAAAAAGAAATTATTTTTTTCAACGTGTTCTTGAAACGTGAGAACATTCAGAATAATATATTAGAATAATGTAGAATTCTTGTAAATTTGATAAAATATCGAATACGTTATATTGAAATTGCATCGAATCGTGGAACATTGAACGGTCTCCTTTATCCGTTCTCCCATTCATCGATCGTACGTGATAACAGGTGGGTCCGATAATTAAAATTTGTATATTCTTTGTAGTAGTATACACTTTTATTGCGTGCACACTCAATCACAATATATGTATGCCTCGGTTTGTCTGTGTTTATGCCTCTGTGTACATGTGGGTGTTCTCTGTGTGTGCCTGCACATATATAGATATATAGGTACATACATAGATCGTTCTAAGATCGCGCATGCCTCGGCGCATACATCTATATATATGCACCGTTTTATAATATATGATTTCACGTTTTTTTTTTTTTTCTTCTCCTTTTATTTTCTTTTCCATCGTCTCATATACTTATGACAATAATAGTATATTTTACATGCAAAAACAAAAAGTTTTATCACAGTGGGACAGCATACATTCGTTAATAACGTAATAATTGCGTATCGATAACTTCTTCTCTGCCGCTTTCTTTCTTTCTTTTTTTTTTGTTTGTTTGTTTGTTTGTTATACCCTCCCTCCCTCACCAACACGCCCCAAATGTTGCAAACCCACCCCGTTTCGACTTCTTCCACTCTTTCCCTCACTCCTCTTTCCTGTTCACGCATTCTATTCGCGAAATAGAATTCATTCGCTGTATCGATT